GTGGACCGCCTTTGTCGCCAGACAAGCGAATATGGCGGCGTACGTCTTGATTTTACGTCGGTTGCGGTCCCTCCTCTCCTTGATGTTGAATGGGCCGCAGTAGTCGATTCCGACGTTCGTGAACGGCCGCGATTCGGTAATACGCGCCTCTGGTAAATCACCCATCAAGTATTCCACTGGTGGAGGGTTGGCTCTGCAACAGCGGACGCACCTTTTGAGGGTGCGCCATACCTGGCTACGGCCGTCGATCGGCCAATAGCGCAGTCTCACCGCGTATAGTGTTGCTTGTGTCCCTGTGTGATGATTGTTCCGGTGCTCTCGTTCTATAATTAGTTCTGTCACCGGGGACTTCGGCAGGATGATGGGGTGCTTTTGGCTGAAGGGTATAGCGGAGTTGGTTAGTCGTCCTCCTACCCGGAGTATCCCATCTTCGTCGAGGAAGGGGTTTAATGGCTGCAGTTTCCCTCCAACGTCCTCGCTTCGATTTTTCTGGAGGGTCCGAATTTCAGGCGCGAAATGTCTGGATTGTATTAACTTGATTAGTTGGTTGTGCGCTGCCGTTAGTTCGTCGGTGGTGAGATGGGCAGGTCGGTGTTGCCTATGTCTCCATCGAAGACACCAGGCGACGATTCTTATTAGTCTGGGCCAAGACGAATAACGATGGAGGAGTGTGTTGTCGTTAATGTTCGCCCTCAGACAAATCGTCTTCTTTTGCTCCGGGATGTCGACTACCGGGGTCGGGCTCCAGACCGGCCAATAGGCTTCGCCTTGCAGGAGCCACCTTGGCCCGTTTTTCCAAATGGACGGACATAGGAATTCCTTGGGCGTCTGGCCTCGGGAGATGAGATCAGCTGGATTGTCGTCGGTCGGCACATGACGCCAGTCGGAGATATTGGTCTTGGTCTGTATCTCAGCGACTCGATTCGCCACAAATGTTTTCAAGGTGTGCGGCGAAGATCTGATCCAATGGAGGACGATGGTGGAGTCAGTCCAGTATACGATCCGCGATATCTTGGTCGTCAGGGCCTGTCGTATTGACGAAATCAGGGACGTCAAAAGAAGTGCCCCGCTTAATTCGAGACGTGGTATGGAGAGTGATTTGAGCGGCGCTACCTTCGATCGCGCCGTTAGGAGTCGAGTCCAAATATTGTTCTTTCGGTCCGTTGTTCGCACGTAGACACACGCCCCATATGCCCTTTCGCTAGCGTCACAGAATCCGTGTAGCTCAATTTTCGTTGCGGATTCTATGATGGTCTTCCGAGGGAACCTTACCGCATTTAACAACGGCAATTGGGTGTGGTATTTGATCCACTCTGTGTGTAAGTTTGACGGAAGGGATTCGTCCCAATCTACCTTCAATGTCCAAACTTGTTGCAAAATCATTTTTGCTCGAATGATTACCGGCGCGAGTAATCCCAATGGATCATAGATTTGTGCGATGACTGAACTAATTGATCGCTTTGTGACTCGGGAAGTGTCACTGATCGTCTTGACCGAATATAGTATGGAATCGTCGGCTGAATTCCAAAATACGCCGAGTGTCTTTAACGTGGATGACTCACCGAGATGTAGTTTCTGGTGGGTATCTTC